CACTGCTTTTATTATTTTTATATAATTGTATTTAGATTACATTTTTATTTTGTACAATTAAAGATACTCAAGTTTTATGAGAAACCCTTACTTTTTTCAGTGATTTTGATTAACTTGTTTAATAATATAGATCCGGGTATTGGGCTGATTGCTGCCTGCAGCAATTTTTTAAGAGACCATTTCCATGGGGAAAGGGCTCATTTCCCTTAAGAATAGCTGTAAAGGCTCCTGGGGACAAAAACATAGTGGTGGTAGTAGGCACTTGATCCGCTTGTATAATTGATTTAATTACCAGGGTTTCACACAATGTGACTGTACCGACTTGTACATATGTTTACATTTACATAACTGTGTTTTATTTTTAAATTACAAAACTTTTTTTGTGTAACACCATAACTGTTACTGTAACATTTTTACAACTACCAACCTTTTTAATTTTGTAGTATCATATAAAGGCTACTTGTAACTTTTTGTTTACTTTAAATTACTTACCTGTGCATTTAATTCTTTAAAGTGGTATATTTTGCTTGTAACAGCTTAGCTACCAAGTACAATCCCTGCAACACAGCTGCCTTACCTTGTGCTTCCTTTACATTGGGATTGTTTAAAGAGGCAGTAAAACATTTGTTTCCATGGTCACCCGTTGACCTTTTACACACACACACAGATGGGGACAGACAGATTCACAGACACACACAGAGATGGATTCTCTCTCTCTCTCACACACCCCATAGAGAGGGAGACACACGAAGGATTCTCTGACACACACACACAGGGAGACACACACACACACACACACAGGGAGACACAGACTGATTGAGAGAGAGAGAGACACACACACACACATAATGTCTGTGGGTCTCCCTCTGTGCAAGACACACACACACAGAAATGGATTCTCTCCCAGACACACACACACAGGGAAACACACACACAGAGAAGGGTTGTGAGAGAGACACACACAAAGAGGGAAACACAGAGAGGGATTCTTTCTCTCACACACAGATTCTCACATACACACAGGGGGACACACAGATGCATTCTCTCTCACACACAGGGAGGGAGACATACACAGATAGGTTTCAGAGGAACAGCCGTGTTAGTCTGTATTCGCAAAAAGAAAAGGAGTACTTGTGGCACCTTAGAGACTAACCAATTTATTTGAGCATGAGCTTTCGTGAGCTACAGCTCACTTCATCAGATGTATACCGTGGAAACTGCAGCAGACTTTATATACACACAGAGAATATGAAACAATACCTCCTCCCACCCCACTGTCCTGCTGGTAATAGCTTATCTAAAGTGATCAACAGGTGGGCCATTTCCAGCACAAATCCAGGTTTTCTCACCCTCCATCCCCCCACACAAATTCACTCTCCTGCTGGTGCTAGCCCATCCAAAGTGACAACTCTTTACATAATCAAGTCGGGCTATTTCCTGCATAGATCCAGGTTTTCTCACATCCCCCCCACCCCCAAACACACACAAACTCACTCTCCTGCTGGTAATAGCTCATCTAAACTGACCACTCTCCAAGTTTAAATCCAAGTTAAACCAGAACATCTGGGGGAGGGGGGGGTAGGAAAAAACAAGAGGAAACAGGCTACCTTGCATAATGACTTAGCCACTCCCAGTCTCTATTTAAGCCTAAATTAATAGTATCCAATTTGCAAATGAATTCCAATTCAGCAGTTTCTCGCTGGAGTCTGGATTTGAAGTTTTTTTGTTTTAAGATAAAAAGAAAAGGAGTACTTGTGGCACCTTATAGACTAACCAATTTATTTGAGCATGAGCTTTCGTGAGCTACAGCTCACTTCATCAGATGATGAAGTGAGCTGTAGCTCACGAAAGCTCATGCTCAAATAAATTGGTTAGTCTCTAAGGTGCCACAAGTACTCCTTTTCTTTTTGCGAATACAGACTAACACGGCTGTTCCTCTGAAACCTGTTTTAAGATAGTGACCTTCATGTCTGTGATTGCGTGACCAGAGAGATTGAAGTGTTCTCCGACTGGTTTATGAATGTTATAATTCTTGACATCTGATTTGTGTCCATTTATTCTTTTACGTAGAGACTGTCCAGTTTGACCAATGTACATGGCAGAGGGGCATTGCTGGCACATGATGGCATATATCACATTGGTGGATGTGCAGGTGAACGAGCCTCTGATAGTGTGGCTGATGTTATTAGGCCCTGTGATGGTGTCCCCTGAATAGATATGTGGGCAAAATTGGCAACGGGCTTTGTTGCAAGGATAAGTTCCTGGGTTAGTGGTTCTGTTGTGTGGTATGTGGTTGTTGGTGAGTATTTGCTTCAGGTTGCGGGGCTGTCTGTAGGCAAGGACTGGCCTGTCTCCCAAGACTTGTGAGAGTGTTGGGTCATCCTTTAGGATAGGTTGTAGATCCTTAATAATGCATTGGAGGGGTTTTAGTTGGGGGCTGAAGGTGACCGCTAGTGGCGTTCTGTTATTTTCTTTGTTAGGCCTGTCCTGTAGTAGGTAACTTCTGGGAACTCTTCTGGCTCTATCAATCTGTTTCTTTACTTCTGCAGGTGGGTATTGTAGTTGTAAGAAAGCTTGACAGAGATCTTGTAGGTGTTTGTCTCTGTCTGAGGGGTTGGAGCAAATGCGGTTGTATCGCAGAGCTTGGCTGTAGACGATGGATCGTGTGGTGTGGTCAGGGTGAAAGCTGGAGGCATGCAGGTAGGAATAGCGGTCAGTAGGTTTCCGGTATAGGGTGGTGTTTATGTGGCCATTGTTTATTAGCACTGTAGTGTCCAGGAAGTGGATCTCTTGTGTGGACTGGACCAGGCTGAGGTTGGTGGTGGGATGGAAATTGTTGAAATCATGGTGGAATTCCTCAAGGGCTTCTTTTCCATGGGTCCAGATGATGAAGATGTCATCAATATAGCGCAAGTAGAGTAGGGGCTTTAGGGGACGAGAGCTGAGGAAGCGTTGTTCTAAATCAGCCATAAAAATGTTGGCATACTGTGGGGCCATGCGGGTACCCATAGCAGTGCCGCTGATCTGAAGGTATACATTGTCCCCAAATGTGAAATAGTTATGGGTAAGGACAAAGTCACAAAGTTCAGCCACCAGGTTAGCCGTGACATTATCAGGGATAGTGTTCTTGACGGCTTGTAGTCCATCTTTGTGTGGAATGTTGGTGTAGAGGGCTTCTACATCCATAGTAGCCAGGATGGTGTTAGCAGGAAGATCACCGATGGATTGAAGTTTCCTCAGGAAGTCAGTGGTGTCTCGAAGGTAGCTGGGAGTGCTGGTAGCGTAGGGCCTGAGGAGGGAGTCTACATAGCCAGACAATCCTGCTGTCAGGGTGCCAATGCCTGAGATGATGGGGCGCCCAGGATTTCCAGGTTTATGGATCTTGGGTAGTAGATAGAATATCCCAGGTCGGGGTTCCAGGGGTGTGTCTGTGCGGATTTGATCTTGTGCTTTTTCAGGAAGTTTCTTGAGCAAATGCTGTAGTTGCTTTTGGTAACTCTCAGTGGGATCATAGGGTAATGGCTTGTAGAAACTCGTGTTGGAGAGCTGCCGAGCAGCCTCTTGTTCATATTCCGACCTATTCATGATGACAACAGTACCTCCTTTGTCAGCCTTTTTGATTATGATGTCAGAGTTGTTTCTGAGGCTGTGGATGGCATTGCGTTCCGCATGGCTGAGGTTATGGGGCAAGTGATGCTGCTTTTCTCTCTCTCTCTCTCACACACACACAGATACATAGAGAGTTGGATTCACATACAGGGGTTCATACATTTCCCCCCCGCCACAGAGAGAGGAAGGCATACGAGAGAGAGAGACAGACACACAAGACTGGAGAGAGAGAGGCATGCAGTGATTCTCACATGAGAGAGAGAGACACAAACACACACAAGCCATACACAACAGCTACACAGGGTTTCACGGACACTGGCCACACACACAAGAGAAGGAGGGAGACAGAGCCATAGCAGCTATATACAACATACAGACAACAGCAAAGATGCACGCAGGGATTCACATATCTTGGGGAGAGAGAGACACAGACACACACACAACATACAAGACAGAGAGAGGGAGACACATGCAGGGATTCACACATACACTGGCCTCACAAGAGAGGCATGCAGTGATTCCCAGAGACACACGCTAGCCACACACCACAGAGAGGGAGACACACAGCCATACTGCCTACATCCAACATACCCACACCAGAGAGACAAAGACACACACAGGGAATTCACACACGAGAGAAAGACACACACAGGCTATACACACAACACCCCCCAGACACCCCCCCCCAGAGAGACAGAGACACACACCCAGGCTATACACACCACACACACACCCTAGAGACAGAGAGACACACACCACACACCCCCCAGAGACAGACAGACAGACACACACAACACCCCCCAGAGACAGAGAGACACACCCAGGCTATACACACCACACACCCCCCAGAGACACACACAGGCTATACACACAACACCCAGGACCCCCCAGACACCCCCCAGAGAGACAGAGACACACCCAGGCTATACACACCACACACCCCCCAGAGACACACACAGGCTATATACACAACACCCCCAGAGACAGAGACACACACACACACCGCCTCTATATAACACCCGACCCGACCCGACGTTCGCGTCCCCACTGGGCGCGAGCTGGGGAGGGCGGCGCTTCATGACGCGCCGCGGGACGGTGAGCTACGCAGCAAGTGAGCTCGCCTCGGTCTCGCCCCGCGAGTGAATTTAAAGGGCCAGCAGCCCGCGTGGAGCGGGTCAGGGAAATGCCGGGAGTATCACGTGAGGCTGGGTACTGGGTGCACTCTGTTTATTAGTAGCAGCAGATTCGCCCTGTCCGCGATCTCCAGCGGAGACCAGCGCTCGCCGCGTGGGTTGCTGTTGTAGGGGGCACTCAGCTCCCCCCCTGCCACCTGAACGCGGCTCCATCCCGGGGTCTCTGCGTTGAAAGTGCTGCGCCGAAGCGGCAGACATCTTCACCAGGCCACGGCGGCCGCCGCCGTGTGTGTATAAGGAATTCCAGCCGCTGATTCGCTACTAGGCGGAGCAGTCCCCGGAGCCTCCCGCGGCGGCAGGCTGGCTCTGTGAGCAAGCCAGGGCCGCAGAAGCCCCTCCGAGGGCTGCGTGGGGTGAAAGCAGCGCCTCGGGCCCAAGTCCTTGGAGAAAGTGCTGCCGCGGATGGGCAGGTCGCTGGCGCACTCGGCTGGCGGCGGCTTCTCCCGGGTCCGCACCAGTGACGGGCTGCGCTCGGCGGGTGCGGCGGCGGCTTTCCGGGGCGCGGCCTGCTCTGCACCCGCTGCCGGCCGAGCCCAGCCGCGGCCCCTCAGCCAGGCCGGGGAGACCTCGCCGGCCGCTTTGGCGCTGCCGGGTCTCGGCGCGCAGGGTGGGAGCGGCCCGGGCCCAGAGCAGCGGTGCGGGGGAGGGGGCGCCCCGGGAGTAATGCCTCCTGGGCCCGCATGAGGAGGGGAGAGGGAGCGGGAGCCCCTGGGCCCCCCGCACGCCCTGCCAGCCCCGCGAGTGCAGCCATGGAGTGTGTGCAGGTCCCCCCCAGGCAGCCGGGGAGTGCCGCTGAGCGGGACCGGCGGCGGCTGCTGCTGCTGCCGCCCCCGGGACCGCCGAAGGAAGAGGAGACACTGGGCGGCTTTGAGCCCTGGGCCGCCTCGCAGGCGGGAGAGGATGCTGCGGGAGGCCACTTGGGGGTGAAACTCCAGGAAAGTTTGGGCATGGCTCTCCTCTCCCATCTGGATGCCGAGATCCTCCCCTCAAAACCCAGCTCACCGGTTTCAGGAAACGCTCCCAGCGGGGAAATGGTGGACCATGCAACTGTGCTCTCTGCAAAGAGGGACTTGAAGGAGCCCGAGGGCTTAGATCTGGGAGAGGAGCGGTTGCAGGGGAAAGAGACTTCTTTGGTCGTGAGCCATCCACTTCAGGAAGCATTGTCAGCGAACGAGGATGCCTCTGGTAACCCTCACTTGACTGCAGAGAGGAGAAACTTGCCGGAGATGGCAGCTGCCGCCAGAGGATGTCCCGGGGGAAATGAAAAATCTCTGCTGCAGGCCCCTCTTTCCCCCTCACAGGAAAAGTTGGCATCTCCGCCTTCCAATAACTGTTCTTTGGACTCAGCAGCCCCCAGTCCAGGGGGTGATCAACAAGTGGAGGCTTCTCCACCTTCTGAAGATGGAAAACTCAAGCATGGGGCAAAGCGGGTAACATTTCCCTCGGATGAGGACATAGTGTCTGGATCTCTGGAGCCTAAAGATCCTTGGAGACATGGTAAACTTTCAAAATGCTTTACACTCAACTTTGCTCTTCTCCTGGGGCTGGAAATTGTATATCATGTGAATAATCCTGTTAACTTCACTGAAGGTCTATTCACATGTTAAAGATTTTGCAGAGTTGTTCCCAAACAGGACACACTCTCTTTTTGACATTTGTGGTATAACAGGATACTCAAAGATTACTTTTCTATGAAATGTTTAAATATTAAGCATATTTAAACAAAACTGTGCAGTTTGTTTCAATTCCTAAAAATATATGCATCTGGTACTTTGAGTGTACACATGAACTTTATAAAAATTACAAACAATAATTAGGATCCAGTGGCAAGAACTGAGTGCTGACCTGATATTTATTAGTTATATGCAAACCTTTTAACATTCCTGAACATTCTGCACTGTTTTTAAGCACTTTTCTGATCCAGGTAGGATTGAAGCCTTGAAGTAATATAACCCCGTGTCTGTAGCACACCTTTTTCTCATTGTGTATCATTTCTACAGCTCCACCATTTTTAGTAGACCCCATGTTATTTTTCTCCATTTTTTTTTTGCATCACTGACTTGTGAAATGAGCAAATATGTCCTCCCAGAAATGTAAAGAAACTAGTGATCTCTCCACTTTGTAATGCTATGATAAATAATTACAAAGAGAGATTGCAACTGTTATTTAATGCAAATGTTTATTTGACAGTAACTGTTAATATCTTTAAACAATTTTCAGAAATAATGACTATTAGTAATGCAAAACCAAAGTTCACCTTATAGTGTATATTAAATTTGTATTTTCAGTGCATTTGTCATATTTATCAACCAGATTTTACTTAGTGACAGGTTTCAGAGGAACAGCCGTGTTAGTCTGTATTCGCAAAAAGAAAAGGAGTACTTGTGGCACCTTAGAGACTAACCAATTTATTTGAGCATGAGCTTTCGTGAGCTACAGCTCACTTCATCAGATGTATACCGTGGAAACAATTCCACGGTATACATCTGATGAAGTGAGCTGTAGCTCACGAAAGCTCATGCTCAAATAAATTGGTTAGTCTCTAAGGTGCCACAAGTACTCCTTTTCATTTTACTTAGTGTTTGCTTTCTGCTTTTACCCAGGTTAATGGAATTCCAAAGTGGCTAAAATAGAATTGCTTCACATATTATTTTCTGGAAATGGATTTTGGGTGTAGCTTTTTGAAGCAGGGATTCAGTTTTTGACAGGATTCTGGTATCTAGTTGCTGAAGTAAAGAATGGTGTGTTCAGTGTCTTAAAAATGACATTTCAAATCAGTGCAAAGGATATTGCATTCTATTATATTCATTAAACCTGGCCACTGGCTGGTACTCCTGAAGCTCAAGACATACAGTAACTTTTTCTCAGTGGAAATAAGGTTCATTTGTTTTTAATGTGGTATGTGAGAGGTGTGTCAATGTCTAGAGACTGTCTCTACCCATTGTGCTCAAAGTGATAAGTGCACAAAGGGTTAATTCTGTCAGCATTTCTGACTAATGAAACAGTTGGAGTCTTATAGTAATTTCTGGACTTCATAAAGTTCAACTACCGTACATCTTAATGAACATATTGGGCATTTTAGAGCAGTTAAAGATTTGGGTTTGTATGTGTGGTGAGGGCATGACAGAAAGAGGTGTGGGTCATCCAGTATAGTGATGGTACTGAAAGTATCAGGTGAAATTAATCTCTGAATTTGGTCATTGTTCTTAATGGTTTGTATCCTTGTAATTAGTTTTCTAATTTACTGAATACACAAAAAGTTGTATATACATGGGAGGAAGAAATATTTAAGACTTCAGTCTTCCCTCCTCTTTATATAGCTAAATGTTTTAGTATAATTCATCTTTTGAAAATTGAGTCTAACCTTTGGCAAGAGTGGTGATAGACTTCACTTCATTTCAGGCATAAGAAAATCTGAAGCTCTTGTATAAATCTGATAAGATTTTTGGAATATAAATGGATCAGTTTGCTTTGTAGTAACAGGCTTATATTTACATTTAAAATATTTTAATGTATACTGCAGTTATTGTAGCAATGTGTGTAAAGTAATGCACTTGTTTAACAGAATGTTACCAGTGAGCTAAATACGTTTTTAAATGTTTTACTTGTAATGGCTTTATCACATGCAATTGTTAGGATAAGGTACATTCTAGTCTCCTAAGGCTTTGGTCCTACTAACTTCTGTAGCTGACTTGTTGTGCTTGGCAAAACTGAACACAGGAAATTGATTGTGTTTAATTGAACCTCCTTGAAGACAGAGCACACAATGAATATGTGTGGACAGGACCCTTGTACAACTGGGTTGCTTCACTCCAGAGAAATGACTTACAAGTGTGAATGAGCCTCAGTACTTTTAATTGTACATCTATTATACAATTGGGGTGCATGTTTATAGGTCATATTGGCTACTAATTATGTGATGGCTTTTACTAGGCAGCTTGATTTAGAATCATAGAATCATAGAATATAAGGGTTGGAAGGGACCCCAGAAGGTCATCTAGTCCAACCCCCTGCTCGAAGCAGGACCAATTCCCAGTTAAATCATTTAACGCGGTTGAATTTAGTTCAACCTTGTTAACAATCAATGCTTCAAATGGTTCTAAATCCACATGCATATTCAAATTATCTTGAAATCTGCTGTACCTCATCAGGGCCTGAGGGTAGGGTTAGTGGGCTCATTTGGTTCAGAGGTTCCATTCAGACACTCCTCTGCCCCCAACACTGGAGCTTGGACCATGGGACTAGTGTGCACCAAACCGATTTATTAGCGGTTCTGTCTGGTTCTATAAATTGGCACACATCAGGGTCTGTGGCAGGGGTGGGCAAACTTTTTGGCCCAAAGGCCACATCAGGGTTGTGAAACTGTATGGAGGGCTAGGTAGGGAAGGCTGTGCCTCCTCAAATTGCTTGGCCTCTGCCCCCTCCCACTTCCTGACCCCTGACTGCCCCCCTCAGAACCCCTGACCCATCCAACACCCCTGATCCTTGTCCCCTTACTGCTTCCTCCTGGGACCCCTGCTCCTAACCGAACCCTGGTACCCCACCCCCTATCCGACCCCCCCAGTCCCTTTCCCCTGACTGCCCTGATCCCTGTCCACACCCCCACCCCCTGATGGGCCCCCTGGGACTCCCATGCCTATCCAACTGCCCCTTTTCCCTGTCACCTGACTGTCCATCCCCTACAGAACCTCCACTCCATCCAACCCCCCCTGCTCCCTGTACCCTGACTGTCCCGCCCCCTGTCCACCCCCCCGACAGGCCCCCGGGACTCCCACGCCTGTCCAACCTCCCCTGTCCCCTGACCGCCCCCGAACCTCCGCCCCATCCAGCTGTCCCCTGACTGCTCCATGGGACCCGGCAGGAGCGGTGGGCCAGAGCGCGGGTGGCGCAGCAAGCTGAGGCTGGGGGACAACGGGGGAGGAGCCTGGGGCTAGCCTCACTGGCTGGGAGCTCAAGGGCTGGGCAGGACAGTCCCACGGGCCCCAGTTTGCCCACCTCTAGTCTATGGGCTACATGTACCTAGGTAGGGAAGAGATTTTTGATAGACAGTCCTTCCCTTGTGAGGTTTCCAAGAATGATTGCTGTGCGCATGAATAATCTCTGATGTGATTCTCTTTGGGCTATAAGGCTTTAAAGGAAGTTCTTTTACAAGTTTTGCCCCAAGAGCTGAGCTTTTATTTTGAAAAGCTGATTTTTTAGATGATTTTTTTTTTTAGTGCTCTAAAATTGACATGCCTGCTCATATTGTTTTGAAAATGGCTATGCCTCATCAGGGTGAGTCACTCTTAACTCTGCATTAATGAAGTTTTTTGGCAGTAAGTTGTATAAACACTACTCCTGGTAGTGTCAGCAACATAAGCCCTAAAGCTAGATCTCTAACAGAAGAGTTTGGGGAAGACAAAGATAAACAAAAGGAATGGGATGAAGACCTGGGCCAGTTTCTTGTGGAAAGCTTTTTTTTGTACGTTGTTTGTCAGCTTCCCTTTCAGTTACATTTTGACTTTTTAAATCTGTGGAAACTATAGGAAAACTGATGGGACAATGTGGGGTGTTTTTCTGAGAGAATTTGCTCTAACAATATATGGAAACACTAACATAATTGTGTTTGGTTTTTTGATTGAGTAATTTCGAAGTCGACTTGCTCATCTAATTTCTAATTTTTCCTTAATATTTAAGTCTTCCTTTCCCGTTTCTTTATATCCCAATTTCCATTACTCAAGAAATGGGTGCTTTAAGCACTGACAATTTATAATCCTCCAAGAATGACTTCTTTGAGGACCAACCCTTCCCTCCTCCATAAAATTTGATAGCTAATGTAATTACTTTAAAATGTTTACTTAGGCTTGTGGAATCGGATAGATCCATCCACCATGTATAAACCATGTGAGCTAGGTTTGGGGTGAACAGAAGCAAACCTGCTATTTCAGTCTAGGGCAGCCAAATACTAGCGGGGAGGGATAGCTCAGTGGTTTGGGCGTTGGCCTGCTAAACCCAGGGTTGTGAGTTCAATCCTTGAGGGGGCCATTTAGGGATCTGGGGCAAAAATTGGGGCTTGGTCCTGCTTTGAGCAGGGGGTTGGACTCCTGAGGTCCTTTCTAACCCTGATATTCTATTAATCTGTTCTGTGATTCTAGGTGTTTCTGCTAAAATGATTAATAGTGAAATCGGATGGATTTGATTTAAATCAATTTGATTTAAAATCACTAGTCAGGAAGACTTGGTTTAATCATGGATTTCTACATAAAAGTGCATTCTTGTTGGTTGTTATAACCTTAGTACATAGTCTTTACAACTCAGAGATGTAAGTTTCATTTTTAAAAGGTACATACAATACATTCTTAAAGTGATTTATTTTGAAAACTTTTCAGATTAGTTTTACAGCTATGTCAGAAAATAAATGAATGATTGTTTTTTTCATTTACCAAAGGTAATTGAAGCAGTTCATCTCCCAATGACTTCATAAATATCTATCTCCAATTCAACAGGTTAATCATTAA